TCTCCCTTTGTGCAGAAGTCGCGCTCCATCTCGTCCGTTGAAGTAGAAGTCGATCCGACGGTCCAATCTCCAAGCGATCTGAGGATGATTCTGAGTCGCTGTTCAGCAGCTGTCGGTGTCCGGGTGGACACGTTTCCTGCAGCAATTCTCGGTCGTCGATGTCGGCTGTCGAGCGATCGGACGCTGTGAAGAACTTCGCGGCTTGCGAGGTCCCGTTCCCATTCGCGCTGAAACTCGAACTCGCTCATAAGGATTTCGTTTTCACCTCGGTCGATCCGAAGCGTCGAATCTCCATCGGACGGATGTCGTCGGTCGAACCTGCGCAGAGTTCCGCGCAACTCCAAGTGTTGTCGCGAACTGCGAACTTCTCCAAATGTCGCAGGGAGTGTTCCGCCGGAACTGACACGCTCGCGAGGTCGAGGCCGTTTGCCCCCGCGAAAAATCGGCACCGTCGATGCAGTCCATTGAACGGTTGGCGAGGCATCTCGCCTTCGAAGGGGATCCCAGGTGCAACTGCGCGAGGTTAGTCGAAACTTAAATGAAAGTGCATTGTACTTACAGGAATTGAAGTTTCGACTCCATCCTCCGCGTGCTCCTGGGGGCCCAGCGGTTAAGCGTTGAGCTGAAACCTTGGCTCTGATTACCAAGTGTTACAGGATCGAATGAGGTTTAGCTCCATGTTGCACTATCAATTAGTACAAGGGGCTTTTATACTTCCAGATTACATCAGGTAACCAGGTTTATCCTATCCAAAGGGAATAGACCCTTCTAGAAATAGAATCACCCTGCGTATAGCAACGCGAGGCTATTGGCTTTAAGGGATTACGGCAGGATTACGCTAGATATAGCGCGTCAGTACATCCCGAGCCTGGTCGGTGATATAATCATAATAATAGGATGAACCAAAGGATGATGGAAAAGGAGGAATAGGAAACCAAATGAGAAGAGATAAAGACCAAATGAATCATGATAAAAAGAGGAATGAAATAGATAGGAAATATGGAAAGGGGAAATTGGTGTAACGGGATCGTACTCTCACACTAGCTACGTAGCGCGCCTTGAACACCGGCGGCTCTCCAGGTGGGCGCTTCACCTTGGAGAGCCACCGGCCATTGACAACGTTCAGCCCAGGTGGGGGAACTGCGTCGACACAAGTGCCGGTGGATCTCCAAGATGCCATCTCCGCGTCCATGGCAGCTATCCACTTAGAGGCCCAGAGTCCCGAGGTCGCCTCAGCGTAAGTGCGAGGGGTCAAGATGTCAAAGGCGTCTGGATCACCCTCAGGGACTTGCAGCATGGAGCAGAGATGAGGCGCAACCACAGACAGGAAAGCAAGCTCGTACTAACAGTCCTCCAAAACATCACTGCCAAGGGCAGAAGCACCCCCGACGAACGGAGGACAGGCAGGGTCAGAGACCAGAGTAGTGGCATAGTCAAGGCGACGGGTAGAGGCAAAGTCAGTGACGGCAGCGACAAGCGCGTCAAGACTGGAGACAGGAACAGACGTGTCGGTAACAAGGAAGGAAGGGACTCGAGGAACAAGAGGAATAGCAGCACGAAGGTAGTCAGAGAGGGGAGGCAAAGCGACGATAAGCGAGGACGGAGGAGGCGAAGAGAGGAGGGGAGGACGAGATGCGTGGGAATGGAGCAACGTAGGGTGGGAGCGCTGAACAGGGGAGACAGGACGAGCACGGGAGGGACGGCGAGACCAGACGTGAGAAGGAGGCGTTGGGTCAGGAGACAGGGGAGGAGACACAGGAGGAGAACGAGGGGGGAGATGAGCCGAAGACGAGTGCGGCGGAGGAAAGACAGGGCTGTGGGCATGCACCCTATTTTCTGTGGTCATTCATTGCTCGCTACGCCACTCCCAGCTTAACCTGTGGCCCCACTCTCAGTTGCCGTAGGTTTTGCCAACCCTCCTTTGGACCAGGTTCCCTGGTGACGGGCATGCGTTCCACGTCTAGGGCTCCCTCGCTCACGTTCGTGCCTCTGGCACGGACAAGCTCACCGCGCGCACTTTCCCCTATGTCTTCCTTGGTTTCCCCCTCGACTCATCTGACTGCACTTTTACCACCCGCCATCTCACCGCTTCCTTCAATCGCGTGACGTCATTTTCGATGAGTTTGCCTCCTTGTACAACCGCTTTCCCCACCGAGGTCTCCCGGTTTTCCCCGCCCCTCTTTCTGGTTCCCACTCCCCTGGTCGCCCCTGCTCCTCTCGCTCCTTGTCCTGCCTCGTCTGGTGTGTCGCACGTCACTCCCCTCCCATCCCTTGTCCCGGTTGAGGAGTCGGCTGACTTTGCGGGTCCCACGGCTTCAGTTTTGCCGCCTGTGTGCACCCCGGTGTCCCCTCCCCCGCCGCTGCTGCCACAGCAGCAGCAGCAGCCTTCGCCGCCGTCGCAGCCGCAAGTGCAGCCGCAACAGCCGCAAGATCCTGCAAGGTCTGGGGGTGCGGGCGTAAGGGAGGGTGCTAGTCCTGTTGTTACTGTCATGGCTTGTCCCGGCGGTCTCGGGGGTGGCACAGGTGCTGGAGAGGGTTCTCGTTCTGGGGGTGTTGGCTCTGAGGGTGCTAGTCCTGGGGTTACTATCGTGGCTTGTCCCGGCGGTCTCAGGGGTGGCCCCAGTGCTGGAGAGGGTTCTCGTTTTGGGGGTGTTGGCGTGGCGTGTCCTGGAGGTAGCCCTGGTGCAGCTCAAGGTTCTGGTGTCGGCGTGGAGCAAGAGCAGCAGCAGCAGCGTCAGCGTTATGGATCATGGAGGTACGAGCTACCTCCATGACCAGACTGATGTGTTGCTGAGCGACTCCATTCTGCTGCGGGGAGTCCGGAAGGGTGTACAACTGGGTAATGCCCTCCGCACGACAAAACCGGCCAAGCCGACCGGAGGTGAACTCGCCGCCATGGTCGGAGTGGAGACAAAGCACTCGGAGGCTGCGGTGGACTCGCGCAGCTACGACCCACGGGATAAGAACGTCATGCACATCGGCCTTCCGCTCCAGGGGAAACACCGTGGTGTAGCGCGTGTAGTCGTCAACAAGCCCGAGAAAGTAGTGCTCTCGGCGCAGCCCAGGGACGGGGGCTGGGCCCCAAACGTCCAAGTGCAGGGTCTGGAGTGGCGCATTGGTAGGGAGAAATGAGGAGGAGTGAGGAGCATGGCGTAACCGGCCCTCGACGAAGGGCATGCACAGCGGCGCAGGCGAGGGAGGGAGGGCAGGGAGCGACGCAGGGAGACCTAAGACAAGACCGTGCTGGGACATGTGACGCAGACGCGGGAGTGCAGGGTGACCTAGGCAGTGGTCCCACAACAGGGACGGGTGAGTGAGCGACCGACACGAGCAAGCCGCGGTGACCTGGGTCGCCGTAGGTACCTGGGGGGACGCCCTCACTGGGGAGGACGCATTGTCAAGCGTAAACAGGCCGGACACAGGGTCCCGGGGGAACGTGGTCAGAGGGGCACCAGTGGCGGCCTCGGTACAGACCGCGTACCGCTCGTGTCCGGGGAACGTAGTGGTGACGCCGAGATCGTGAAGACAGCCGACACCAACTAGGTTCCTAGAGAACGAGGGGATGTGCAAGCCTGTAAGAGAGCATGAGGGGATCGCCGGACAGGGGAGGGTAGTGGAGCTACGGGCTACTACTGGACCTAAGGAGGGGTCAGCAAGTGCTAGAGCGGCGGGGGCAGCAAGCGGCGGGGGCAGCAAGCGGCGAGGGCAGCAAGCGGCCTGAGCGCAACGTGGTTGCGAATGAAACAGGCAGACGCTCCAGAGTCGAGCATTATGGAGAGCAACGTAGTAGCGTTAGCCGGCGGAGGGGCGAGCGTAGAGCCTAGGCTAAACAAGGCAGAGGGTCCTACGCCTGACGCAGCAGGGGAGCCTAGACTACACACAGGGGACACACTTACGTTGGGCAACACAGGGTAATAGGGTCCAATCAGCATAATAACAGGCATAGTAGTCATAATCTGATCCATGTCAAGCTCAAAGACAGGCACACGACGGCTAGCCAGGGCGTACCAGTTAGGGGGGTCCGACGTAGGACCGAAGCGGTGGCGGAAAAGGTCGTCCAGGCAGCGGTAATAGCGGTCGACTGTGTGGCCGGGCTGGGAGCAGACGGTGCCGCGGCGAGGCTGAGACGGGGGTGGAATAGCGCTCAATGACTGCATTTTAGAAAGCCTGGGCGTTCTCTAGAGTGGTAAAGCGGGGACGCTCAGACAGAGGGAGTGTGTGACTGATAGCAAGCTGTGAGACGACGTCGCGCGAGTCCTAGACGGCACGAGCAAGCGCAGCAGCGGAAAAGGAGATGAAAGGCGAAGGAAAGTAGTGGAGAGCAGTGGAGAGCAGTGGAGTGCGGTGGGGAGCAGTGGAGAGCGGTGGAGAGCGGTGGAGGCGGCCGGCAGAGGAGCCGGCGCAGAAGGGACCCAAGACCGGGGGCACCAGAGCGACGCGGCGGCGCAGCGACACACCGGCTCGGCGGCACTGCGGTGCGGCTGCTGGCCGGTGCGGGCTGTGGCCGGTGTAGCAGGGGTGGCGGAGAAGGGGCCGGCTAGCTGGGGGCTGGCGGGGCGCACAGGGCGAGCGGGGCGCTGACGGGGCCGGCGGGGCGCACGGGCTAGCAGGGCGCAACGGGGCTAACGGGGCGCGAACGGGGCCAGCGGGGCGCACGGGCTAGCGGGGCGCAACGGGGCTAACGGGGCGCGAATGGGGCCAGGAGGGCTCGACGGGGCCAGCGGGGCGCTAAGGGACCAGCGGGGTGCGAATGGGCCGGTGGGGCGCTAACGGGCCAGCGGGGCACGAACGGGCCAGTGCCGCGCTAAGGAGCTAGCGGGGCGCTAAGGGGCCAGCGAAGCGCTAACGGGCCGGCTAGGGCTAGGCCTAAGGCGGAAGCGCAGGTGGGCGGGGGGTGACCTAACCTAGCGTGATACCATATCAGAATAAGGAATTGACTAGAATGTGAGGTATAGTGTGGTTTTATGCTGAGGTTGTACTCTCTAAGAGAACGAACCTATCTAGCCCACAATAACATATAAACATACGTTTGACAAGTTCTGAATGTTAGGAGGGCTTGCACCCATTCCAACATTCTGAAGAGTGACAGAAGGACATAGCCACACAGCACACCGAGAGACTTAGTATCTAGCTTCGATTTATCAACAAGGAGTCGCCTTTAACGGCAGGGGGATGGAGGGATAACGGAACAAAGAGGCATGCCAGTAGCAAAAGCAATGCTGCTACACATGCGCCATAGTGAAGGTACCATACCATACGCCTAGCATACAGGAGCCGAAGAGCTAGATCAAAGGCCACAACACACAAGCAGCAGGAAGGGAGGCATGAGGGTTGCCACAAATTGCAGGTTCCACAGTGAAACACGAGATGCAACCACTGGGGAGAGGCTGAAGTCAATTCGTGTCGTGGACTCAGCAGAAGAACATGCACGTGTGCATGGAAGGAAGCAGCTCAGGAGAGGTGTAAGGGGATGAGGCACGTCAGCTGAGGAATCTTGTGGCTTCAGCAGTAGAACATGCGTGTGGCCATGTCCCGAGCGAAGGCTGGCAGTGGAGGCACAGGCGGAGGGGGAGGGCGGGGAGCGGCAGGGTCCCTGTCGCGGCCAGCACTGGACTCGGACGAGAGGTCGCTGAAGTCGTGGTCGAAGTAGTTGCGGCAGTGGGTGGCCGCCAGGTGGGCGTAGAAGACAGGCGCCACTGGGAGATGGGGGCAGTAATGTTGTGCATTGCAGCAATACATATGCTCGATGAGATATGACAAACGACAAGGTATGGCATGTGCTGAATGGGGTACGGCATGTGCTGAATGGGGTAAAGCATACAATGGGGGACTGTCACACATTGCCAGAGACATGCATGTCATGATGATGATGATGATGATGATGATGATGATGAGGATGAGGATGAGGATGATGACGACGACGACGACGACGAGGATGATGATGATGATGATGATGACGGCGGCGGCGGCGGCGGCGGCGGCGGCGGCGAGGATGATGATGATGATGATGATGATGATGATGATGATGATGATGATGATGATGATGATGATGATGATGATGATGATGATGATGATGATGATGATGATGATGATGATGATGATGATGATGATGATGATGATGATGATGATGATGATGATGATGATGATGATGATGATGATGATGATGATGATGATGATGATGATGATGATGATGATGATGATGATGATGATGATGATGATGATGATGATGAGGATGAGGACAAGTCATTTGGGGATCTCAAAATGGGTAGCATGGAGAGAGGGTACCTGTGGAGACAGCTCGAGTGCACCTCCCATAGCTGCCATAAGTGAAAGACAAGCACGTAATACGAACATGACATGCTAGTTAGTGACAAGCACCACAAAGAAACGACCAGAGACCTAGTGACATGCGATTTGAAACAGCAATGTACAAGGGAGAGACCATCATGTCATAAAATTGCTACTAAAAGGACCATGCCAGTTCACCAGCACCAGGCACACAAAAAGCATCAAACGATACTGCGGAGAGTAATGGCTGTCAAATCAGCTTGTTTCCACCCATGCCGCACACATTCGCTGTTCTACAAGCGAAACATTGCCTTAAACTGACACCATTGGGCTAAGTGGGCAAATTCGTTGGGGTCCCCCAGCGTTTTGCGTAAATTCGTAAGCGTAAATTCGCAAACGCGAATTTACCGAAATGCGCGAAACGCTGGGGGAAATTTTTCGGGGCAGCCCGGACAAAAAAACACGAATTTTCCCACTCGATTCGCGGCGACTTGGCGAAGCCATCCGTGCCCTCGCCAATTCGCGATTCTAACTTTTGAACCTCCAAACATGCTCCCGACCCCTCCCGTGCTCCCATCCGCATCAAACCCCCGGCATCTAGAGAACCCAACCCATCCACCAATCACCCAACTTACGCAACCATATCACGCACGCATCTCACACGCTACTCTACCAGACGTAGAGTAGATCCAGCTAATCACTCCGCCTCCTAGCTAGTAGATCTAGTCTAAGCATAGACATTAGCTTACCTCATGAGTATGGTTCATCATGTTGCTGTAGGTTGCTGCAGGGCTGTTGTTGCGAAGGATACCCCCACCCAAACTCTAGAACATGCTATTGCCATAAACTTTGAGAAGCAATCATTATTTTGTGCTAAAAATTTCTTGCTTAAAAAGAGTTGCCCTGAAACCCCCCACGCCCCCCCTACCTGGGAACTTTTCTTTGGGCCTGCCCGGGCATTTTTTTCCTGCCCGGGAGGAACGAATTTCCCAACGAGTTCAAAACAGGGCCCTGGCGTTCGGCGAATTTACGCCAGTGTAAATTCGTTAGCGAATTTACGTGAAACGCGAATTTTCCCACTTAGCCATTGGGTTCACTTGACCTGTTGCATGTTGGAAAAGTGTACTTTAGCCTCATGAACACAATGGTGTACGTTAAAGACAATGTCTCAACAGTAGCACAATGAATGCATGAAATGGTGGATTTGGACTTTCTGGTAAACTTAAAGCCCTCAAACGCACTGCGTTTGAAAGGGGCTGGGGCGAGGGTTACGCGGGCTGTTCTGCTGGGGGGTTAGGGGGTTGGGGAAGGGCTGCATTTGGACAATTAGGGTTATGGGCTTTAAAGGAATGCTGGCACGTTGCAGACCTCTCTTGCGGACCACTGTTGACAAAAACGCTTTTGCTAGTTTGCTTTTTGCATTCAAACGCAATCGTTTAAACGCAATACGCCAAAACGCGTCAAAACGCTCGAACGCACCTCAAAATTGTTTCGGGCTGCCCGGAGAAAAAAATCGGAAACTTTGCGGCTGGGCTAGGGTTTCGGGAAACGCGATTATGAGAGTCGCGTGTTCTGCGGGGTCGAATTCTGTCCCCAGCGGCTTCAGTTCAGCCTGGAAAGAATTTTGCGGGAGAATATTTCCACGAAATCGCGACATGACGACTGCAACCAGACATTCGCCATGTCGCGAAACCCAACCAGCCACCACAAAACGGGCTTCCATTCCAACTCCCCCCCGTCCACAAAACGGGCTTCCATTCCAACTCCCCCCGTCCAGAAACTCCAACCTTTCCTCACAACTGCTCCACTCTCCCCCCCTCACCTCCCTTCCCGTTTTCCGACAAGAGCTTAAACAGCGCGCGCCAGCTCATGCAACTTCCGCTTAACACGTTTAGAGCACCATAGCCTCCCTCCCTCGAGTCCCGCTGAAGCCGAGCCGGCTGTCCCCCCTCCGCCATTCCCCACCTCCCCCCCTCCCCCCTCCCCCCCTCCCCCCTTCCCCCCTTTCCCCCTTGCCCCCCTCTTTCCCCTGGCCGGGCAAAAATTTTGGCCTGCCCGGACATGCGTTTTCCGAGCGTATTTGAAGCCTGGAATCCTGCGTATTGCGGTAAGTGCACGGTGTTTTCGATTTTGAGGTGTCTCAAAATCAATTCTAGGATTTCGATTGTGTAGGGTAAAACACGCATGTAACACATTACGAGTGTGAGGTGGCAAACTCACTTGTAGCAGAGGGAGTGCGTGAGATGCTGGATCTCATCCGCAGTGAGCCCGTTCTCATCGTGCAACACATGGTAGTGCACTGGCCGGCTGGTGCCCTGTTGAGTACAAAACGCAGGATGGGGAAGATGGCTGTTGAGGACAGGTTGAATTCGCCCGTTCTCATCATGCAGCAAGTGGCAATGCACCGGCGTGCTGGTGCCCTATTGAAGGGAGCAAAGAGGGGTGGGGGAGGATGCATATTGAGAAATGAGCCCACAGAATAAATTGCTCCCACCATACATCACGTGATAACGCACTGGTTGTTGGTGCAAAATCGGTTTTGCACCTAAGTGGGCAAATTCGTTAAGGTCCCCCAGCGTTTTGCGTAAATTCGTAAGAGTAAATACGCGTTTGCGAATTTACCTGAAATTCGCGAAACGCTGGGGGAAAATTTTCCGGGCAGCCCGGACAAAAAAATGCGAATTTCCCCACTCGATTCGCGACGACTTGGCGAAGCCATCCGTGGCCTCGCCAATTCGCGATTCTAACTTTTGAACCTCCAAACATGCTCCCAACCCCTCCCACTCTCCCAACCGCATCAAACCCCACCGCATCTAGATATCCCAACCCATCCACCACCCAACACAACTTACGTAACCATATCACGCATCTCACACGCTACTCTACCAGACGTAGAGTAAATCTAGCTAATATCTCCGCGTACTAGCTAGTAGATCTAGTAGCTTACCGCATAGACATTAGCTTACCTCACGAGTATGATGTTGCTCTATATTGCTGCAGGGCTGTTGTTGCGAAGGATCCCCCCCAGACTCTAGAACATGCTATGGCCATAAAATTTGAGAAGCAATATTTATTTTGTGCTAAACTTTGTTGCTTAAAAAGAGTTGCCCTGAAACTCCCCACGCCCCCCCTGCCTGGGAACTTTTTTTTGGGCCTGCCCGGGCATTTTTTTCCTGCCCGGACGGAACGAATTTCCCAACGAATTTAAAACAGGGCCCTGGCGTTTGGGCGAATTTACTCCAGCGTAAATTCGTCAGCGAATTTACGCGAAACGCGAATTTTCCCACTTAGTTTTGCACTTCAACCTGCCGCCTATTCGTCGGGGATGAAGCAACATGGAAGGAGTTAGTCGAAGATCTTGTGGTTAAACATACCGGGTTATGTGTTTCTACTGGTTGTGGGGTTCATATGTGCGAGGAAGAGCTCAAGAAGAGCTCTCGTGAAGTCCCATGGAAGTCCCATGGAAGTCCCATGGAAGTCCCATGGAAGTCCCATGGGAGTCCCACGGGAGTCCCACGGGAGTCACACGCTGTAGGGTAAGGGTATCAGGAGCAGCAGGGACATCAGTAGCAGCAAGGATAGCAGACAATCTTGCTGCAGACACTCTTGCTGATAACCTTGCTACTGCAGACGCTCTTGCTGCAGACACTCTTGCTGCAGACACTCTTGCTGATACCCTTGCTGCTGCTCTTGCTACGGGAGTCCCACGGGAATCGATGCACACGCACCAAGTCATCATTGCCACTCGCTGCGTTTATGTTGGAGGAAGGCTCTAGTGGAATTTGACCGAGGCTATACTTGGCTTACTCTCTTCAAACACGGACCCTTAGATAGAGGCTGGTTTTACCAGGCACCCAAGGACCCCTGGAGGTGACCCCGTGGGGTAAGTTTTGTATGCTTGAGTCCCTATTCCTAGAGTGTTATTAGGTTCCTATTCTAACACTGGCCTGGCTTGTGCCTCGCGAAAAAAGAATGGGGATGAGTGAGAATGCGTTGGATGAGGGAGCAGGCAACATGCCAATTGTGACACCATGAAAGCACGGTACAAACCAGCAGGCCCTTGTGGCACACTAGGCATGTTGACAGGCCGTGCCTCGGCCGGGTCCGCCCGAGGCGGGCTTGGGTCGGGCCTGCTTGGGCCGGGCCGGCTTCTAGGCCGGCCTGTGGCTCGTGGACACATGGCGGGCCAGGGTAGGCCCACCTTGGGTTCGGGCGGGCCCGCGACCGTAGGGGGTTCTCTTAGGGTCCGATTTCAACCTGGTCGGTTTTTGAGGCGCCTCAAAAGTGATTTCAGCCTGGTCGTTGGTCCGTGCGGGCCACGAGCCGGGGTCTAGCGGCAAAAACCGGGCTTGGGCCGGTCCGGCCCGCCCCTAGCCCGTCCGCTGAACATGCCTATGTCACACGTATGTACCTTGTGCGAGACCATGGAGGAAGTCAAAAAGAAAGGGTGGGTCACATCTGTACCCACGATCGCCCTTGGTTGCCCACACTAGTTCCCTGGACCTAGCAGATGACACAGCGCATGAGCTACATACCAAGAGGCCCTTGTGTGACACCAGGTGGAAGTGAAAACAGCAAGGATGCATCACATCCCTGTCCATTATCATCCCTGGCTGCCCACTCTAGTTCCCATGGCCCAGCAGGATTCTGAACGTGTGAGTTACATTCCAGGAGGCCCTTGTGTGACACCATGCAAAAGTCGAAGAAGAAAGGGAGAGTCACATCACATCCCTATCCACTATCGTCCGCGGCTGCCCATTCTATTTTCCTTGGTCTAGCAAGTGACACGTGTGAGTTACATACCAGGAGGCCCTTGTGCGAGACCATGTAAAAGTCGAAGAAGAAAGGGTGTGTCACATCCCTGTCCACTATGGTCCCTGGCTGCACGTTGCGGTCCCCCTGGGCCGGCAGGAAGCGCACATTGTTGCGCTTCTGAGCCACGATGTACGTCACTGAGGGGCGGAAGGCCGCGTCGCCCACCTTCTTGCCCATCCACTCAAACGCCTGGGGAACAGGGGGGAAGGGAAGGGGGGGGGTTTGGGGGAGACAAAGGAAGGGAAGTGGAGGAAAGCGGAGAGACGCGCACGTTGTTGCGCTTCGAGCCACATGAAGTTACTGAAGGACCAGAATGAGGTGCCACCCACCTTCTTGCCCATCCACTCCACTCGAACGCCTGGGGAAGGAGGGGAAGAATGGCAGAAATGTGCTCTTGGCCGGACAGGAAGCGCACTGGTTGGAGGTGCACCGGCACCCCCAGTCAGCCAAGCACGTATCTCACCTTCCTAAACGCCTCCAGCTATGCTGCACCCACTGCGGCGACCTGCTACACATACCACCCATGCCATCCATGCCACCCATGCCACCCATGCCATGCCATCCATGCCATCCATGCCACCCATGCTATCCATGCCACCCATGCCACCCATGCCATCCATGCCATCCATGCCACCCATGCCATCCATGCCACCCATGCCATCCATGCCATCCATGCCATTTACCTCCATCCAGTCAGCCATCCACGTGTCTCACCTTCCTGCATGCGTCCAGCTCTGCTGCTCCCACCATGGCTACCTGCCAACATACTGATGTTTCTATGTGCCACCTGATGCATCTGTGCCACCCGTGACTAGGCATGAGCAACCGAGTCGAGTTTTGACTCGACTCGGTGACTCGACTTGCCCTTTAGGGCGAGTCGAGTTTCCTTTTTGACTCATCTGACTCGGCCAAAGTCGAGTCGGGTCGAGTCGACCGAGTTTCGAGTTTTGCTCGACTTGGTCTGGCTGGGAATTTGCACCGAGTCGCACGGTCGCACCCGAGTCGAGTCATAATTTGACTCGACCGAGTCGAAATTCACTCGAGAGGTTTCGCTAAGTCATTTGTCCGGGAAATTTTGAGCTACGCCCAGAAACGCGTCTGGCGTTTTAAACGCCAGCGTTTAACTCTAAACAATCGATTTGTGGCCTGGCAAACGCTCGATAACCGCTCGGGCAGGCAGGCAAAAATGTTCAGGGCAAAACGAAAATCTATGGTTCAAGACTTAGCGAGTGGTAGGTTGAGAGGCGATATGGCGGCGGCTCTAGTTGCACGCTAAAATAGGTTAGCGGAATTGACAGGAGAGAGGGATGGCGAGGAATTCGGGTAGAGCATGCAAGAGAGGGAGGGGGGGGTTGGAAGTCGTAGTTGCAGACGGGTTCAGTGCGGTTGAAGTGGGGGAATTTGGTTGGAAATCGATGTTAGCAAGAACATTAGAGGGGGGGGAATGGATTTCGTAGTCGCAGAGGGTTTCAGTGCGGTTGAAGTGGGGGAACTTGGTTGGCAAAAATGTCACGACTTGGCGACATTTCACCTTCCAACCCCATTCCCACACCTCAAAACCGCAATCAACCTTATTTCAACTAGGAAACCCAACCTCCCCCCACTCTCTCCTCTACCTAAGAGAGGGAACACACGCTATCCCTCTTACGACATTCCCGAGCCATAATTTCACGCTGTGCAACTCTAGAGCAGCAACTACGGCACCTCCTACACTCACCTCACGCCAGGCCTGTACCTTTTTCGCCCTGCCCAGCCGAGCGTATATCGAGGAAATTCCCTATTAACTAAACCGAGTCGAGTCAAACTCGACTCGGGCCGAGTCAGGGCCTGACTCGGGCGAGTCAGGCCCGACTCGCCTCCCAAAACTCGAGTCTCGAGTCAGAATCCTGGGGGGTCCGACTCGGTCCGACTCGGGTCCGACTCGACCCGGAATTGGCTCGACTCGGATCCGACTCGGACGAGTCGAGGCTCGACTCGCCTCCTGCTCATGCCTACCCGTGACCCGTCCCATCCACACGGCACGGACCTCCCTGAGAGTTTCTACCCTCTCGCATCCAGCCATGATCCAGCCATGATCCAGCCATGATCCAGCCATGATCCAGCCATACCCCCCTGCCTCTTGTCAGGCACCCAAGCTTCTCACCTTCCTAAACGCGTCCAGCTCTGCTGCTCCCACCGTTGCAAACTGGGACTCACTGATGCCGTCCCTGGGAAGGAAACACAGGCAGAGAGAGATACAAGACACGGATAAGGGAGTCACAGAAGCAAGGGACACACGCACAAGAGTGACACACAAGTGAGACAAACACGGGTGAGGAATCAAGGGATATATAATATAAGAGAGGTATGTGCCGAAGAAACTCGCGAAATTCGGAGACACGCGAAGAAAAGTATTTCCCTAATGAGAAAAAAAGGCACATGAAAGAGGACGTGGAAGGGGAATATGGAAAAGGAACGATCAATACATGATTGAAAGGGTACAACGTATTCACCTGTACACGATGATTCGTTTTGGCCCCATCTTGTTGATGTTGCCAAAGTCATTCATGAGCTCACTGCACCGTTGGATTGGACACACGCCAGGAAGGAAAGGGAAAGGACTGCATCAAGAGGGGGGTGACAGGGGGGGAGGTGACTCAAGACTCAAAACACATCTTCTTGATGTTACCAAAGTCATTCATGAGCTCACTGCACCGTTGGACACATGCGGGGAAGGGAAGGTAAAGGACCAGGGGGGGGTGGGCGGGGGGGGAGGGAAGTGGGGGAGGGGATGGGGGAGGGGAGGGGCGAGGTGGGGGGGGAACTGCGTGAATGGAAGAACTGAGCGAGTGAGGGTGAGGCGGACGTAGACTGGCAAAGGAGGCACAATAAAATTGCTGAAGAGAATGAGTGAGAAAAGGGGTGGATGAGAGGAGAAAGGGTGAGCTTATCATAGAGAGGACCACAGCATGCTACGAAAGGGCAGGCCGGCGAGGTGATAAGGAAACGAGAAGGAAGGATCACAAGGACGAAGCCGAAAGGACCAGAGCATGCAACGCACTACAGCATGCTACGCACTACAGCATGCTACGCACTACAGCATGCTATGCACTACAGCATGCTACGCACCACAGCATGCTACGCACTACAGCATGCTACGCACCACAGCATGCTACGCACCACAGCATGCTATGCACTACAGCATGCTATGCACTACAGCATGCTACGCACCACAGCATGCTACGCACCACAGCATGCTACGCACCACAGCATGCTACGCACCACAGCATGCTACGCACCACAGCATGCTACGCACTACAGCATACTGCGCATCACAGCACGCTACGCACCACAGCATGCTACGCACCACAGGACGCTACGCACCACAGCATGCCGCCCGTGGGCTTGTCAGGGTCGAAGAGGCCAAGAATGGTCTCCTGCCTCCTGCTCTGCGAGCGCACCCTCACAGTGTACTTGCTGGCGTTCGAATCGACCGAGGCAACCGCCTGTTCGTGAAAGGGCACAAAAGGGTGTTGGAGACAGGTGGTTTTGCAACCACCTGCTCTGCTGGCATTAACCCAAAGGGAAGAGACATGTGCCTCAGAGCGCCTCAGGCCCTCCTGCCTCCTGTTCTGCGAGCTCTCTCACACAGTGTACTTGCTGGCGTTGGGATCCACAGAGGCCACCAACTGTGAGAGAGGGAACGAATGGAGTGCAAGCCAGGGCATAACATGTGTCTCAGAGCGCTTCAAGAATCAGGCTCTCCTGCCTCCTGTTCTGCGACTGCACTCGCACCGAGTACTTGCGAGGCGACATCATGGTGGGTGGGCTTCTCGCTGAAACGCGGCTTTTGCCTCTAACAATTGTGACTGTCTATCCCTCAGAACCCATGCACACCACCATGCATGCACCACACCATGCACTCACAGCGGCAACAGATGCAGCTCGCCTGCCTGAAGCCCCATAGGAGACGTAGAGGCCAAAGAACATTGTTGAGAGGCCGTACTCACCTCTGGTAATTGCCCCTCAGTGCCAGTGTGCTAGTAACGGATGAAGGCACTCACAGCCGCCACGGATGGAGCTCTGCTGCCAGGAGCACCGTGCGAGACGTCCAGGCCAAAGATCATCGTTGGCTTCTCGCTGAGAGGGCGCATGGACCTCTTGATGGCGTCCGTCAGCACCCAATTGACGCCCCTCATCTGATGGGTGGGTGGGAAGATGCGAGCCATAGAGAGAATAGAATATGCGTGGTGGGAAGATGCGAGCCATAGAGAGAATAGAATATGCGTGGTGGGAAGATGCGAGCCATAGAGAGAATAGAATATGCATGGTGGGATCCAGGTGAGAAACGAGGCAGTTGGTCATGGTGGGCTTCTTGCTGAGAGAGGGCGCATGGACCACTTTATAGTGTCCGCTAGCACCCAGTTGACACCAACCCCATCTGATGGTGGGTGTAGTGGGACGCAGCGAGAGAAGAAGATGCACATTGTAGCAAAATACACGAATGTAGTAAGTTACCTCGCCAAAGCCAAGTTCTTGCCCACTGATGTAAGCTTGGCAATCATCCAGGCTTCACCACGAGAGGAAATCACGACGAGATATGACCTTTATGTTCGTTTCTGGAAATTAATGCGCCTACACCACGCATCCACATCTTCATGTTTCCTATGAGCGTCACGTTGGTGAGGTACGGCCCTTCCCTAGGTGACTTTTGAGTAAGCTCAAAACACCGCACCGCATTGCACCTTCTTGTTTGCCTTCTGCGCCACGTTGGTCTGGCACTGACGTGCGTGTGTTCCGCATTAGACTTTAGAGCAACCTTAAAGCACATGTGTGTGTGTCCCCACCTTCATGTTCATTTTCAACGCCACGTTGGTGAGGTACTGGTCGTTGAAGCCCTTCCCTGGCGGCTGCACAATGCACTGCGTGGGCACCCCAATGCGCGTCTCACACAGCTTCTTGATGGGCGCTGCAGGGTGAGGAGGTGGAGGAGGTGGGAGAATCCCGGTAGATAGAGAAGGGGTACTGATTGTGAGAGCTGCCATTCAATCTGTGGCTGGACGATGCACTGCGTGGGCACCCCAATGCGCGTGTCACACAGCGCCTTGATGGGCGCTGCAGGGGAAAGGGGTGGGTGCGGGAGGGGAGCTAGGGATGCAGGCATTGATTGCTGTCTCAAAAGATGCACTGCGTGTGTGGCGGTGCCCATATGCATAATGCACATGTCACACAGCGTCTTGATGGGCGCTGCAGGGGATAATGGGACAGCGAGACGGGAGATGAGGGGCAGCAGAGAGGAGGGGTGTAGTTAGACATTAGCAAAACGCGATGCGATATTACATCGAAAACCAGATGTGATGAAATATTGCATACGCGCGATATAATTTTCGAAAACCAGGTTACCGCATAATGGGCGCCATATAAATAAATATCGCATATTATATCGTGCGATGCGATATAATATCGTATGGCATTCTTGAAAATGAAAACAAAAGGTGAGTTTGAGCAAAAGACGAAATGCCATTCTGATACTGCAAAGGAGAATGAGAATGGAGAGTTTTTTTTAGACTTGTGTCTCTCCCCCCCCCCCCCCTCCTCCTTGCTGGCGAGTTCTCGCGCTGCGATGAAAAAATATCGCATGCGATATTTTATTTATCGCATATCGCACTTTATCGCACAAACCGGGCACGATAAGAAGACACAATGAGGAGGAGAGGCAGGGGAGAGGACGCACATACACCAACGAAGACAACACCACACACCACACATACACCAATACATGGCATTCTCACGTACCAAACAATGATGGGCGGCAGGCTGGCAGCAGCACATACCATAGAGAAGGCTCGTCTTGCGCACGTCCAGAATCCACAGAATGAACTCGGGCCTGACGGCCTTGAGGCGGTCGATCACCCTCTCCACCAGCTGCTCCGGTTGTCCTGACCGCGTGTCCTGCTTTATCACTTCCGGGGCGGAATTGATCATCTGAGAGGGGGTGGGTGGGGGTAGGAGTGGGGTGGGGGTGGAGTGGGGAAGTGGGGAGAGGAGAATGCGGCACAAGGTGGCTTGAGTCGCCTCATAACAGTGGGTTGGGCCGATAGCCCTCTGCACCAGCTGCTCTGGTGGTGCAGCTGACCGTGAACCTCCAGATCCTTTGGGCACTCACGTCCAGGGCGAACCACAGAGGCCGCACACCTGCCGCGCGCCCTATTCAATGAACCAAACTCACCAGCCCCTTGCATGCGCAGCAGTCCTTGAGAGTATCCGCCACTTGCAAGGGGTTTTGTATGTTTAGGCGCTTCAGCAACCACAACACGCTACTGCACCCAACTCACCAGCCCTTTGCGGGCACAGCAGTCCCTGAGAGTACCCGCCACCTGCATGGGGTCTCGCCTTCAGAGGTGCTTGGAACAACCAGAGTGCCCTTTCAGCAACGGATCGCACTAACCAGCCCTTCGCGTGCACAGCAGTTCCTAAGAATACCCGCCACCTGCATGGGGTGTCGCCTTTAGAGGTAGTAGCTGAAGGAACTGAAGACTGAATTGCACCCCACTCACCAGCCCTTTGCTGGCACAGCAGTCCCTGAGAGCACCCGCCACCTGCATGGGGTCTCGCACGCGGTAGTCAAAGCACACCACCGCCCATGTCTTGATGGTGGACGGCTCAAACATGCGCTGGGGAGGGAAGGGGGACGGGGAACAGGTGGGGAAGGAGGACAAGGGACAAGGAATGCACACGGGGTTATGCACGAGGTGATCGGAACACACCGCTGCTCACGTCTTAATGGTGCCCCTCACAAACATGCGCTGGGGAGAGCAGGTGGAGGAGGAGGGGGGGAGGGGGAGGGGGCAAGAGGGGCAGAAGGGAATCGAGGGGAAGGAGGACAAGGAAGCGACAGACAGAGCACACGAATGGGGTCTCGCACACAGTGTTTGAAACACACCACTGCTCTTGATTACCGACGGCTCAACAAGCGGTGGGGAGAGAGAGAGCAAAGAGGAAGAGGAGGACAAGGGAAGGAGGGCAAGGAGGGAAAACGACCTTCCATACGGTGGTCCAAAACACACACGCCCGCTGCCCGTGGCTGGCTCAACAAGCGCTGCGAAGGGAAGCGAAGCGGCAAGGGGAGCAAGGCAGAGGCGCAAGGGGTTTCGCATGCGGTGGTCAAAGCACACCACTGCTGCCCACCCCACGCCTCGATCGTGGCTGGCTGCCCACCCCACGCCTTGATCGTGGCTGGCTGCCCACCCCCTTCAGCGCACGCATACTCCCAACCAACCAACCCCATGCCGGTGTTTTCCCTTCCAGAGTGGCAGCACAGTAGCTAACAGAGATATTGAAGGGCCTCACCTGGTGGTTCAACTTCCATCCACTGCCCCGCCCCAGGCTGAATGCGTAGCATCAATCCTGTCTGTAAGCTCCCTTCTGAGCACCCTACCTACCCCTCACCTCACCTGCTGATTCATGTTCCACTGCCCGTCCCGAGGCTGCATCGTGGATCCCTGCCCGAACTGCAGCTGCAACGGGGAGCACACGAGGCAGGGGAGGGGCGAAAGAAGTCTGACTGGTGTGCTTAAACTTGCTAAGAAGCGGACTGCACCTTAACTTCCCGGACGAATGGCAGCTGCCATGGGGACAGCGAAAGCAGGGAGAGCTGGGGAGAAGTGGCCTTTGCGTGTTTGGGGATTTCAGAGAAATAACTGCATCGTTGCTCCCTGCCCGAATGGCTGCTGGCACAGGGGGCAGAGAAAGCAGGGAGAGGGCACCAAACGCCTCGAAATACACTTGTGGGTGATGAGTAATGAGAGATTTATTTATATGGGGTGATACATCACAAGTTACTCACAGTAGGCGGCTCAAACCTGTAACCCATTGGCCTGACTGAGTCATGTGGAATACCGGATGTCATCATCGTGCTTACACTTCTTTGCTATGGAATCATAAGGCACCAGAGGCATCAGGTGCCTCGAGCTGCCTGCATCATGGATGCCAAGGACCTCAAGATGCGCTTGGGGGTTAACGGGTACGCGAGAAAGTTACACAGGGTGTGATATGTCAATGGCATGCTTACAACAGGTGCCTCCAGCTGCCTGCCATTGGCCTGCATCATGTGCGGCTGGATGCGAATGCCAAAGGCCTCAAGCGAAGGGTTGTTTACCAGACCAGCTGCACCCACCGCCTGCCATGTCAGCATGCCATGTCATGCCATGCCACGCATACCATGCCATACCATACCATACCATACCATACCATACCATACCATACCATACCATACCATACCATACCATGCCATGCCATATGGTAGCATTCCATCTATACCATACCATGCAAGCAATGAGAAAAGGCGGAGGAGGGGTGCAATTGAAGAAGGGACGCAGAGAGAAAATACACGAGGGGCAGAGAGAGGACATCAGGGGCAGAGAGAAAAAAGACGAGGGGCAAAGAGAACAGACGCACAGGGCAAAGAGCACTGCGGCGGTTCCTTGATTGACACCCACACTGCTGATGTTGTCGCGGCGGTTGTCGGGTTTGAGGCGCATGTTACCATGAGAGGCAGAGAGGCAAGACACGAGGGGGAGTGAGCAGTGTGGTTCCGCGATAAGCACCTACACTGGCAATGTCCTCGCGGCGCTTGTCGGGTTTCAGGCGCAGGTTGCCAATGGCAGCCACCTGCTGAGGTGACAGCTGGCGCAGGTACTTCTGCGCGTCCACCACCGTGCAAAGCTGGTGGGGGAGAGAGATACAGGAGCACACATACTGAGACATACAGAGACACACACAGACGCTTGTCCGGTTTGAGGCGCAAATTGCCCATCGCAAACACATGCGGAAGTGATGACAAATCACGTGCCACACATGTGCAACTTTCAGATGTGCGGCATGTGAACACCTCGAAACTGGGGCGTTAGATGGCGCCCCTTGGGTTACTTCAAGTGTTAACCAGCACGCCTGTTACCTGGAGTAGTAACCGGCAGCAGGGCCTCTCAAGGCGGTTAGAGGCAGAGACACAGGGGACACAGAGCAGAGTGACAAAGAGGTCAGGGCAGGGCAGAGCAGAGTGATTTGGTGTGGCGCTCACCTCAGGCAATCCGCCTGACTCTCACCTCCAGTGGGGAATCCAGCACGGCCTCTTGGAGTGGTTGGAGGCGGAGATGCAGGGCAGGAAGGGGTATTCCAGTGTAATGTGGCGGTGCTGCAGGTGCTAGTGCTCCCACATCGTACTCGCTTTCACTTCACTGTTGCTGAATGCACGCTCTGCCTCTCTCTCACCTCCATGGGAATCCAGCAGGGTCTCTTGATCTTGTTGGAGGCGGAGATGCAGGGCAGGTGCGGGAATTGCAGAGTGATGCTGTGGTGCTGCAGGTAGTACTCCGCCACACTCTGGGACTCGTCATTGTTGCGACGGTTGCTGAACCTGTCAGCGGTAACAGGGGGGAGGGGGGGCTCGGGAGAAAGGCAAAGAAAGGGGTAAGTTGCTGGGTAGCGCACGCAGAGTGATGTTGTGGCGCTGCAGGTAAAACTCCGCCACGCTCTGGGACTCACCGTTGTTGCGACGGTTGGGGGGAGAAGACAGGGAGAAAAGGCAGGGAGAGTGGTAGGCTGCTGGGAATTCCAGAATGATCCCGTGGCGCTGCAGGTGATACTCCGCCACACTCAAAGACTCGCCGTTGTTGCAGCGATTGGCAAACCCGTCAGAGGCGATAGGCGGGGCGGGAGGACAGGAGAACAGGGGGGGGGATGGGGCCAGTCGTTGTGGTGCTGCAGGTGATAGTCTGCCTCGCGCTGGGACTGGTTGTTGTTGCGACGGGTTCTGAACCTGTTGTATTAGCCCGGGGGGAGGAAGTGCAGGAGAATAGGCAGGCAACGAGGTGGGTGGGTTGTTGGACAGTGCAGGGAGGTTGGTTTGGGAGTGATGCAGGGAGTGTTGCAACGGTTGCTGAACCTGTGGACTGTTAAAAATACAAGCAACACTTGCACCGGTTCAAGGGCAGGACAGAACAACAGGCAGGCCGGGAATGAACGGGCTTGAGAGAGACTGTAGCTGCTGTGCTGTGCAGCTGTGCTGCTGCTCCTGTGATGACCGTGTGCTGCTAGAGGCGTTATTATAAAGTGCTTGAACCAACCAACACGCTTTGCCTTGTAGGCGATTCAAAGGCAGGAAAGAGAGGCATTGCTTTCCGATCCTAGGCTCCAACAGATGATTCTGTGATGCTGTAGTGGAGGTGTTACTCCAATCAGCGCGCTCTACATCCCGCGGAAGGTAAGTGAACCCGCGACCATGGGGAGGACGTCAAGGCAGGAGAATCAGCAGTCGAAGGGGTCACACGCCGGTGAATAAGCAGTGACATCGTTCTTGTGGTCGGATTTTGGGCCCACGCGCATCGTCTGGTCTGAGGTGCCGTAAAGTGAAAGCACGCTTCACCTTCCCCACCCCACCACAGAAAGGTGCAGAAACATTTGAGGAAATGCGGTGCGGTGCAGTAGACTTAGTGAGAAAAGTGTAGAATCACATGAGCAAGGTGCAGAATCACTGGGGATGCACAAACACCTGAAAAAGGTGCCATATCACCTGAGGAACGTGCACAACCACCTACAAAGAAGTGAAATCACCTGAGTTTAGCAGCCCCTTCGTGTGTGAGGTCATACACCTTGTGACTCTGCCCGCTGGGCCGTGCGGCCACCTTCAGATTCTTGAGAATGCCCTTGAACTGGAAAAGGGGGGGAAGGAGGGGGGTGGAAAGGGGCGACTGACTTACGAAGCACTAAGAAGCACCGTGCCACGTGCGTCCTTGCCCACTCGGTCTTGGACAGGGTGAAGCGATGAGCATGTGAATCGCACACCATGATGGTCCTGCCTGCAAAGCTTACAAGCCCTCCAAATCCTCTCCCCATCTGGCCCCCCTCAACCCAAGTCGCTTCCCATCCAGCCTTCCCAGCATCCCCTCATCCAAAACCTCCCCCAGCATCCCCCCATCCAAAACCTCCCCCAGCATCCCCCCATCCAAAACCTCCCCCAGCATCCCCCCATCCAATACCTCCCCCAGCATCCCCCCATCCAAAACCTCCCCCAGCATCCCCCCATCCAAAACCTCCCCCAGCATCCCCCCATCCAAAACCTCCCCCAGCATCCCCCCATCCAAAACCTCCCCCAGCATCCCCCCATCCAAAACCTCCCCCAGCATCCCCCCATCCAAAACCTCCCCCAGCATCCCCCCATCCAAAACCTCCCCCAGCATCCCCCCATCCAAAATCTCCCCCAGCATCCCCCCATCCAAAACCTCCCCCAGCATCCCCCCATCCAAAACCTCCCCCAGCATCCCCCCAGCAGCACCTTCATCCTCTCAGCGTCGCTAAGGTCGTCCGGGACACGGTTGAAGTTGAAGAAAGACCGGAGAAGGTCCAGCACGGGGATGGGCTGCACCATGCACGCCGTCACGATGTCTGTGGCATGGCGGGGTTGGGGTGGGGGGATTTTAGGGGTGGGCGACGAGGTGTGAGGAGAGTTGGGTTGGGCTGCACAGTAAGGGGTCCAGCATGGCACGGGGATGGGCTGCACCATGCACGCCGTCGCGATGTCTGTGGCGTGGCGGGGTTGGGTTGGGGGAATTTTAGGGGTGGGCGACGAGGTGTGAGGAGAGTTGGGTTGGGCTGCACGGGGATGGGCTGCAGCACCATGCACGCCGTCGCGACATCTGTGTGGTACAGGTGACAGACATCTGTGTGGTACAGGTGACAGACATCTGTGTGGTACAGGTGACAGACATCTGTGTGAGGGCAAGGGCGAAGAAGAAGAGGTGGTCACAATGTTTGTGGTACGATACGAAGGGGATAAAGACGGGGAGAATGGGGGTGCGGCTCAGAGAAAGCCCACCCACACTGGCATGGGCTGCACCATGCATGCAGTCAGGATGTACGCGGTAAGGAGGGATGAAGATGGGGCCAATGGGGGTGAGGCTGCGCAGGGAAGGCCCAGCGACACTGGAATGTGCTGCACCAAGCAAGCCTGCTGTCACGATGCGTGCATGTGAGAGGAGAGGGGAAGAGTGGGAGGCGTTATGTGATGAGACGGATACTGAGTGGGGATGATAGGGCGGGAGATGGGTGGGGTGGGAATGACAGGAGCAGAAAAGGCAGGTGCGTCCAGCACATGGACAGGGCAGGCTGTGCCGTGCATGCCGTGACGATGCCTGTGTGGTAGAGGAAGACGATGTGCACGCGCAAGGGGGATGACGATGGAGACAAGGGTGGAGGCCCGGGCTGTAAAGGAAGGAAGATCAACACGCGAATGGACTGCACCATGCACCATGCATGAGTCATGGCCCCGGGTGCACCATGCATGATGAGTCATGGCCCGGGCTGCACCAAGGGAGCCGTGAGTGGAGGGGTCGGAAACTGACATCGAACGCCTCAATACCATGACTCGAGTTGACTCGAAAGTCATCCCTTACCGAGGTTAAGGGCAAGGGAGCCATGAATGGGCCTGAAGCTGACGTTGAAACCCGTCCACGCCTCAATGCCCCCTGGGAGAGGCGCCACCCGACCAAAGCTGCGGTCAAAGAACTTGTCCTTCACAAGCACGAAGCTGCAGGCAAGATGGGCGAGCATACGGGGAGGGGGGGAACAGAAAGGGGCGATGGGGGTTTTGAGACGCGGGGGGACACTAGACCGCGCCCATTCCTCAGTGTCGCCAGGGAGAGGCGCCACCCTGCCAAAGCTGCGGTCAAACAACTTGTCCTTCACGAGCACGAAGCTGCGGGCAGAGAGGGCGGAATGGATGGGCATTTGGGGGGACAGAGGGGGGTGATGGGAGTGCTGAGACGATGGGGAACGTCTACCCCCCAAAGTTGCGGCCACCCGGCCAAAGTTGCGGCTAAAGAACATGTCCTTCACGAGCACGAAGCTGCGGGCGGGCAGGATGGGAGGGCATCTGGGGGAACAGAGGGGGGTGATTGAGACGCCACGCAGAGGTGCTATCAGGGAGAGGCGCCACCTGGCCGAATCTGCAGGTAGATGAAGTGAAGGGAGGCAGGAAGAGGAGGGACGAATGGGAAGGAGGAGATGGGGGCATTGACAGATGATGACATGGGAAAGACAGGCGGTGGGTGGGAGACCATTCCAGTCCAGGTGAAGGAGCCCGTGGATGTACAAGTTACTGGGGCGCCTCAAAAATAGCCCGTGGATGTACAAGTTACAGCCACGGACGGATAGGGGAAGAGAGTCATGAGGGGGACGGATGCATGCACGGGACGCCTGTGTTGGAGTTTGTGTATTTTAGGGCTAGACATATTTGTTCGGTTGGGTGTAGCTTTTCCATCCCAACCTTATACATCCCAACCAAATCCCCACGATTTGGATGGATCTCCTTGGGATCTCCCATCGATTCTCTCCTATTCCTTCCAACCCTCACCGATGTCTGGTACTTCACCGTGCATGCTCTTCGTCGACTGGAGTGGACAGCCGATTGGGGAAATAACACTTAAAGATGGTTGATATGACAGTGCAGGCTCAGAGGGCCGAGGGTGTCAGGCACCAACGGGGCCAGTGGGCAGCAGCTGCACGAGCAACTAGGACGAGCTGGAAGCAAGGGACGCATGAGGCTGGGTGTGCATGAGTGCGCCGTACTGTCAAGGGCGGCACAGTCCCTGAGCTTCATATCGAGTGCGGAGACTCAGAGGGCGTCAAGGGCAAACACCAGGCGAGAAGCAGCGAAGCGGCACGCAAGAGCATAAGGTGGCGGTTCGTCGAGGGCTCTAAGGCCATCAGACATGGGCACAAGGCCGAGCCAAGCTGGCTCGTTTCGGCTCGGCTCGCCCATCTTTTTTGTGAAGCCCGCTCGGCCCGAACCCTGCCGACTCGTTGAAGAGCCGGCGGCTCGGCTTGGCTCGTCGCACAAAGGCTTTGAGCCGAAGCCGGCTCGGCTTGTGGGTGTGGGCTTCAGTCAAGCAAGTGGCTATGGGCTTCAGTCGAGCCGAGGCGAGCCGGCTCGTTTTCGAGACGGCTTCGACAAAGCCTATCTGGCAGTGCCGAGCTGGTTTTTTGTGAAGCCGGCTCGATCTGGCTCGGCACGGTTTGGCAAGGCTGAAGCCCGGCTCGAAGCCGGCACGAGGCCAGCTCAGCTCGGCTCGGCTTGTGCCCATGACTACGTCAGGGGGACCAAGGGGGCCAGAGGGAGCAGCACAAGCAACAAGGAGAAATTGGAAACAAGGAGCACATACGGCTGTATGTGCGTACCGTTCAGCCGCATAGGCCCTGAGCTTCACATCGAGCGCTCGCAGGGCGTCAGGAGCAAAAACAGGGCCAGAGGCAGTTGCAGGGCTGATGGCGGCCTTGATGTCGCCCAGAGATACCTCCGCCACCTGTGTGTGGTGTGGGGGGAGGGGGTGAAGGGCAAAGGGGGTGGTGAGGGAGGGGGGGGGGGAATCAGAGGCAGCAGTGGGGCTGATGGCAGCCTTTATGTCAGAGAGAGATACCTCCGCCACCTGTGAGTGAGTGGTGTTGGGGGGAAAAGATGGGGGAAATAGATGAGGTGGGAATAAGGGGAGGGTTCCAGGGCCGGAGGTGGCAGCAGGGCTGATGGCGGCCTTGAAGTCAGAGAGCGATATGTCCGCCACCTGTGTGTGGTGGGGTGGGGAACGGGGGATGGTGGGATGGTGGGGAATTGAAGTGGGGCGGCGGCAACAAGGGGCGGGTAACAGGGAGAGGTAGGGTAGCAGGCAGGTTGAACGGGGGAAATGAAAGCTCCAGATGATAAGGAACACCTCAGTTGTAGTAGGTGGGGTGGCATGCACTGACCTGTGTGAGGGTGATTGATTCGTCCTTGTCGCACGAGGCCAACTCCCTGCCGCAGCCTCTTCTCATCAACTATGCACTCTCTGCCAGCTCACTCCCAAGTCAGCTCAAAACTCATCTCACGGCTGCACCCACCTGCGCAAGGGTGATCGACAGCTCGTCCTTGACTCGCGGCTTGCCATCTCCCTGCCGCGGCCTCTTCTGTAGCGCCTCCCCATCGTCTCCTCGTGCTGCCGGCTCAGGCCTGGGGGGGGGGGGGGGGGGGGAGAAGGGGGGGGGAGAAGGGGAGAAGATATTGTGAACAACAGGAGATGATTTAGAACAATCCCCTCCACTGCGCAGCCTCTTATGAGTCGCCGCTCCATCGTCCCCTCGTGCTGCCGGCTAGGTGTGTGCAGTGGGATGGGAAGGGATGGATGGAGGAAAGGGTCACTCTAGCAATGCCTCAGATCCCTTCTCTCCTCTCAAAGGTCTCTTCTGAGGCGCCTCCCCATCGTCCCCCCACATGCGCGTGCGTGCGTGCGTACGCGCACATGCACGCACACCACTCACCGCTGCTCCATGTTGGTACAAGGAAATGCTGGCAGGGACTGAATGCGCAACGGGCACTGGGCGAAACGAAGAGCGTGTTACACACATGCATATGCATAGACTAGACACGCCCACATACACACCCACATACACACCCACATACACACCCACATACATACCCACATACACACCCACATACACACCCACATACACACCCACATACACACCCACATACACACCCACATACACACCCACATACACACCCACATACACACCCACATACACACATTCACATGGACACACACCACTCACCGCTGCTCCATGATGGTGATACGGAATGCCTGCCGAGACTGAATGCGCAGAGCAAGTTCTGAGACGTCTCACCACTCACGGCTGCTCCAAGATCGTTATAGGACAAAGCTGCTGGTGACTGGGTGCACAGCTTTAAAGGCGACCCAAATCACACCACTCACTGACCGCTCCATGAGTGTGAAAGGAAACTTCAGCGGCGACTGAATGCTCAGCAGGCGCAGGGTGAAGAGCGCGTTACGACTGCGCGCATGCATACACACACTCACACCGCTGCTCCATGATGGTAATAGATAATGCCTGTGGCGACTGAATGAAGCGCAGGGAGATGAGCGGGTTCTGGCCGTCATACACCCCCTGCGCACGCACCCACACACGCGCCACTCACCGCCGCTGCTCCATGATAGTGATGGGGAACTCCTGCGGCGACTGGATGCGCAGCGGGCGCAGGGCAAAGAGCGAGTTACACCCGTACGCATGCATACAAACCACTCACCGCTGCTCCATAATCGTGATGGGGAATTCCTGCGGAGACTGGATGCGCAGCGGGCGCAGGGCGAAGAGCGCGTTCTGGCCGTCGTACGCCAGCAGGGGAAGCACCTCTGGTGGGAACGCCCCGGGGTGCTGGGCGTACATGGCCTTCATCATCGACCGCCGCACCATCAAGTTCTTCACGTCCTTGGAAAACCTAACCTGTAGGAGGGTGGTGGGGTGATGTGCGCACAGAATATGCCAGCAGGGGGGTAGAGACTGGGGAGGATGACTTCCTGTGAAAATGCCTTGTGGTGCTGGCTGTACGTGGCTTTCATCATAGATCGCCGCAACATCAAGCTGCGAACCACCAAGGAGAACCGCACCCACATGCACGAAGAACGGAGAGAGGGGGGAGCGGGGGGGGGAGGGGGAGGGGGACAGGATGGGGGAGGGGAAGGGGCAGGGGAGAGGGGGAAAGGGGAGCGGGAAAAGGGAGAGGGAAGGGGGAGGGGAAAGGGGAGGGGGAAGGGGAAGGGGAAAGGGGGAGGGGAAAGGGAGAGGGGGAAGGGGGAGGGCAAAAGGGGAGGGGAAAGGCAGAGGGGGGAGGGCGAGGCGGAACGGGGAGGGGGGAGGGGAACGGGCAGGGGCAACGGGGTGTTGTGGGGGAGGAGGAGGGGAGCGAATGGAAGGGATGGATGATGTTATCGAGATGATCTACAGGCGAAACCTCCAGGCGAAACCTCCAGGAGAAACCTGCAGCCGAGACCTCTGGGCGAAACATCCAGGCGAAACCTCCAGGCGAAACCTCCAGGAGAAACCTGCAGCCGAGACATGTGGGCGAAACATCCAGGCGAAACCTGCAGGCGAAACCTGCAGGCGAAACCTCTAGGCGAAACCTGCAGGCGAGATGGCTATTGGTGCTGATCGTTTGCAAACAGAAGAATGGAAACGGGTGAGAAAAGTCATGTGCTCTGCGACATGGCGCCTCCACTATTTGAGGAATAGTGGCGTCACTATGTGCCAGCAGCGTAAGAAAACAGAAGCACCAAGAAAATTCGTGGAAAACAGAAGGAAAATAAGGTATGCCAAAAAACATTGAAAACGAAAAACGCTGCTTACGTCATACAGAACGAGCAGAGTAGACGGAATCATGAGGTCCACTTTAAACAGAAGTTGACCAGGACCGTCACCGGCTGGCCCAGCCATATTTGCCGTTGGTCGAAGCTTCGAGAGAACAATACAAGGAACGGTACTCACGTCATAGAGCACAAGAGGCGTGGAGGGGATCCGGAGGTCCACTTTGAAAAAGTTGACCAGGACCTTCACCGGCCGACCCAGCGTGCCATATTTCGCATTGGTCGGG